TATAGCTGTGAGAGGGTGAGGGTAATGACCGTGGGGGGATTTATTAACCATAAGTGGTAGCTCTGAGGTGGGGGTGTTTAATGATTGTGAGGGTGGTGGGGTGATAACCGTGAGGGGTATTTGGGGGAGAGAGGGGCATTAACCGTGTAAGGAGGAATAACCACGAGGGTGAAGGGCTGGGGTGTGTGTTTGTGGGGTGATAACCATAAGGGGGTTGTGTAGTTGTGTAGGGGATAATAGTGAGCACGTGTGTGTGTGCCTGTTCTGGAGCTAAAATTCTCTTGAATATGTGTAGCATGTGTTGCATTTGAGGAAGTTATATAGAGGTTAAGGGAATCCCTATAGCTGGTTTGTGTAAGACTGGGAACACTGAGCAAGTGCTCTTGATCCTTCACTTTTGTGAGTCTTAGTGTTGCTGCTTAAGGCCCTCTTCTTATCTTTATGGTCTGGTAACCTGAGTACCAGCCAGTATGAGTTTCCAGCCTCTTGGAATACTTGGATTTTGTGCTCTCGACTGATATCTGCAAAAACAAGATCCAAGCTGCAGATCACAGTAGAAGGGTGTCAGCTGTGTTCCTCAGTCAATAAGTATCACAATCCAGCCTTGTTGGAGTGCCTGAATATTCCATATGAAACAGATATTCGCAGATATCATGCAGGTGCTTTCCTGGCTGTACCCTGGCTTACTGTGCCCTGAATGTTCTGAACCAACCTAAAACATCTCAGTGGTTCCAAATCAAGCTTCACTTGCATAATAGAATTCTGTGAAAGTGTTTCCAATTGAATCCATTATTCAGTCTGCTCTTGAAGCTCTGTTTGTAATCAGAGTGACATCAAATGTGTGTAAGCAAGGGTTGTGTTCAGCAGAAAGTTCTTCTGTGTGGGTGATTTCCCCCTTGCACTGGAGCTTTCTCATTCCAGAGAACTGCATTTGTTTGGATTGTGTAAAACTAAAGCCAGTATGACCCACTGGATGTTTCATAAGATCTTTTTCCTTTCAGGCACTTGGACAGCACAAGTATTTTCTGCTTTTCCTTGTAACAGTGCTGCCCTATAAGGAAAAACCCAGAGTTTCCCTCTGACAGTATGGAGTCCTAGCTTGGAGCTCATCTGACACACCTGAGGAGGTGAATGCTTCTTGATTCAATTTTAGTGCCTTGTCTTTAGCCAGAAGCTGTTTTCTGCAAAGCCTGGGCAATAGCTGATGGTGTGAGGCTGTGGGTACTTTGTGATTATTTTGTGTATG